ATGAGTTGTATACCCTGAGGATCGTCACCAAGTAAGACGATATCATCAGCATAATCTAAGTCGGTCGCGCGCTCACCCGGTAGAAGCTCTAGGCCAAAATGTTGGAAACCTTCTAGGGCATTCGACAGAACGTCTTCGATTGCGAAGTTGAAGAGGAATGGGGACATAGGGCAGCCCTGTCGCACACCGCTATTGACAGCGAATTGCGAGGAAAGCTTGCCATAGACCCTCACTCTGCCGGATGTATGAAGGTAAATTGCTCGTAAGATGGCGGTATATTACTCTGGCACCCCGTTCTTTAGTAAGCAACGCCATAAAGCAGGTCGATCAACGGAGTCAAAAGCGGCACGTATGTCTAGGAATGCAACGATAGTGGGCCTGTGATAAATGTGGCGATGTTCGTGGAGCTGGCGAAGCGTGAAGATTTGATCCACGCATCCGCGGCCAGGACGGAAACCAGCTTGTTCTTCACGGTAGCATGATTCACGTACTGGGGATAGTCTACGAAGTAGAATGGATGCCAATAGCTTAGAGGCAACCGAAATAAGACTAATCCCGCGATGATTTGCACATGAAGTGCGAGCGCCTTTCTTGAAAATTGGGACAATAACTGATTCACCCCAAGAGGAAGGCACTTTCTCTTCATGCCAAATTTTTGCGAACAGTGCGGTTAGCTGGTTAATGATCGCTACACCGCCGTACTTGAATAGTTCTGGAGGAAGTCCGTCTAAGCCGGCAGCCTTGAAGCGCTTCAAGCGTCGAATCTCGAGGCAGACTTCTGCTTCGCTGGGTGGTTTCAATGGGACGAGCCAGGGTGGACAGCAAGGTGTACTGCATGTACTGATGGATGGTGGAGGCCAATTGAACTGCGAGTGCTCGGCCCAGCGGTCCATACGCCTCTGTTGGTTGGTGATCGGAGACTCATCTACCTCACAAATGACCTCACTGACACCAGGCTTCCTGAAGCCAGTGGACCGAATGAGTTGGAAAAGCCTGCGAGTATTTCCAGAGAGGGCAGCGGTCTCCATCTCCAAAGCACGCTCAGACCACCATGTCTCGCCATTCTTGTGTAGGCTTTGCTTAAGCAGCCGGTTGGTAGAACGGCGCCGCTCGTTGCAATCTGATTCTGCGGAGATATCTTTGCGGCGTTCGAAGAGCTCCAGAGAACGAGCAGAGATCCAAGACTTCAAAGGGCGTCGAGTTAGACCACAGCATGACTGTCCAGAATTGGTCAGCGCTTTCCGTATACAAGTCCAGTGTTGTTCCACTTCTCGCGGTGGATTGCAACTGAGTGCATATGCCAGTGAAGACTGATAGCTCGCCTAGACAGAGGAATCAGTTAATCTGTTTACATCAATCTTGCGGTGCTTCGTGTTTCGGGATCCTCCAAAACACATACAGATTTTCGCGCAGACCAGAGCATGATCTGAATCAACGAAAGTAGACCAAAAGGACTTGCAGTCCAGTACGCTGCCGCGCCATCTGAAGCTAATTGCAATGTGATCAATTTGAGACCAAGATTGTGTTGACGAAGGGGGACGCCACGTCGCGGAACGCTTCTTCGTACGCCTGAAGCTAGTGCTCGAAAGGAACAGACGGTTGTCCTCGCACAATGTGATAAGTCTCTCTCCGTTATCAGAGCGGTTCTCATCGAGCGAGTGATGACCACCAAGGTGGCGTTCGTATGGTAACAGGCGGCCAACCCGTAAATTAAAATCCTCAGCAAGGATAACGACATCCGACTTTTTAGCATTAGTCAAGAGCTGTTGTAGATCTCGGTAGAAATCGTCCTTGACCGAGTCGCCACTGCAGTCAGTTGGAGCGTACGCAGAGATCACAAACAAGTTGCATCTCTCTTCGCGGTGCCTGTTGATTCTACATGAACCCCGAAGCCGAACTGCACATAGTCGGCTGTTAATCGGGAATCAGTCCAGTAGTGCCGCCTCTGCCTTGCCACTCATTGCTATACCTACACCAGCTAAACCCGCTGAGCTTGCTTCTGGATCTCCAGAAAGACGCAGGTGATATCTGGCTTCGTGGTCAGTGGGGGATGTCAATGTAAGCACAGTGCTGTGATCTTGCAATCGGGTTTCTGAAAGGCAGCAGACATCAATGTCTAGGGAATCTAGGGTGCGCGCTAGACCGGCTTGCTGTCCAATCTGCATGAGTGTCCGGACGTTGAAGCACGCCAGATGGAACGAGGATCGGGGACGAAGGAGAGCCATAGGTTGAATTCCTTGATCTGCGGAGCAACCGGAATCGCAGCCAGATTGTTGAACAGATGAATCGGGTAACGGAAAGTGAGGATTGTTAGCAAACGAACAATTGGCGTGTGATGGAGTAGCGTGAAAGTGAGTAGCAGGAACAGTAGCTGATGAGCGCGTTGTAGTGAAGTCCATGGTTTTGTGAGAGGGCGTGATACTACCCGATTGCCCAAGCCGAAGTAGGGAGTTGACTTAGGGACTCCACCCCGAGCCTTTGGCTAAATAACCTACCCGCAAGGCAGCGGGGCGAATTTAGGGAATCGCGCCCATTGGGAGGCGTTGACTGAATGATCAGCTCATGCGTCTTTGTTTGGTAGATTACCAAACAGGGGCCCAATACTCCCCATGGAGTCAGCACAATTGCTGGAATACAATGCCCCACGGAGGTGGAACATTGTCGCCGAACACTTTGCTAGAACGGGGTACACCCGAACCACCCAGCTGGCACTACGAGGAGGTAGTTCGGCAAGCCAGCCACCACCAGATAGATTGAACGTATATCGATTGAGAAGACGTAGGCCCGAGAGTTAGGATTTAATCATCTAGAAACCTTGTTATGCAAGCTGCAATGGATCAACCAATAGAATATAACCGTAAATAGAATAGTGACAGTTTACAGTAACATAGAAGTACTAACGACGTAAGTATGCAAACCCACGTCGTTCTCCCCCGCCGACAGATGACGAATAGATGTAGTAATTGTGTGCATTATACTTCGCGACTACGTAAGCAATACGGTCTTGTTCTTTGTTGTTGGCTGAGCTTGTTATCAGCATTGACACGAGCTCAGAGGCAGTAAAGGAATGATCGTATTTAATACAAGGTGACTCAGGTGCGAACCAGTGTGTTTGAGGGGAGACCGACTAATCTGTGAAGTTGTATGTCACTACCTCGGGGTGCTCGCTTTCGTGTCCCATAGGTGCCAGATGGTGTAGAGAGACTGTCTCCTCGTGACCATCAGACAGCCGAACATAAACGTACTCTGGATTGCATTCTAGTAGATCTACTACCTCGACAAGGTCATACTTGGAGGAACGCGCGTTTTTGCTCAGGAGGACAGGTCCAGGCGATAGTAACCATTGTGGTTGAGTAATTCCAACTGGTGACTTTCTGTTATACAAGAACATACCTTCGTGGGGTGTAGCATTAGTGACAGTGCACAGCAATGAACGAATAGAATGTAGGGCTTCTGGTAGCACACACTCCCACTGTTCAACTACCAGACTTCGTGACCGTAGACAAAGCGAGATGGCCTTCCATAATGTAGCATTGAGTCGCTCCACTTGCCCGTTGCATTGGGATTGTAGCTAGTGGTTCTGCTTGTCGCTACGCTCATGCAGAAATGTTTTCAGCTCTTCTGACATGAACGAGGAACCCCCTTCAGAATGTACTACGATGACATTCCAATTCAGTGAATTTGTGTATAGTATTGGAGGCCGTCATGTCAGGACAGGCATATGCAAACGGGAATCTGGTGTACTGGTCGATAACTGAGTATGTAGCGGTTACGCAAGGCCGAAGTTACTGTTCTCTTGAAGTCCATCCTTAGTTGTTCGAAAGGTTGGGTTACTTTGATTCGCGGATTATTTACCGGTGTGTAGAACTTCCGCTTCAGTTGAAGGCATCTAGAGCACTGCTGGATAATCGCTTTCATATTTTCCAAGAAATACGTCAAGTACTTCGCTTGCACAAAGTGGAAACGTTGAGTAACGTCAGGATGGCATAGAGTTTCGTACATCCGCTTCAGATCATTGAGTGAATGAGTGGTTGCAGAATATGCCCTCGGTAATGTGTCGGCTGCGGAATTCTGGGTGCCGGGTCGATACACCACATCGTAAGAGAATTGAGAGAGCTCGATACGCCATCTCTAGATTTTATCGTTTTTAATCTTTCCTCCCAACTTCGTATCATACATGAAAGCAACTGAGCGCTGGTCAGTTATCAGTTTAAAATGGATTCCGAGTAGATAGTGCCGCCATTTTCTGATAGCTTCCACAATAGCATGGACCACTTTCTCCACGGCTGTGTGGTTTCGCTCCCTACCGGCCAGCGTTCGTAAGAAAAATTACGACCGGCTGGCCGTTCTGATTGCGTGTTGCAGAAACACGTACATTATATGCATCAGTTTCAATTACTAATAGCACGTTGCTGTCAACAGCTTTCACGGTTGCTTTGACTAGTTCTATCTATAATGCCTCATACGCGTCCAAAACACTATTTGGCAGTGGAAAAATCTTATTATGAACGAGCGGATGGATCTTGTCCGAAAAGTGTGAGAACCACTGGGAGTAGTAGGCAAACATCCCAACTACTCTTTGTTGTGATTTGAGATCCATTGGCGGAGATAGTATTATTAGCGGCTTAAGATGATCACAGTCTGCTTTCACTGTGCCACACGAACTTTCTTGACCAAGCATGCGCATTTCCTTGGCCGCAAATATACGGTTTAGGATAGCGAAATTGAACTGCCAATCAGCGCAGCTGACCTAGCTGTTCTAGAACGCGAACGTTCTTGGGTTGACCAATAAATCTCCACTGCTTTCTACACTACTTGTATGTAGCTGGTTCTGCAACACGCTTTTGGCATCCCAGCATTGACTTCTGATTTTCGGCTGGGATTCGGAGGTAGCGGAGTACGAATCCAGTTCAATCGGAATCGCATGCCAAGCGGCAGATCATACCACTAATTCGTGCGTTTAAGATTTTCCATCTTTGAAAGTTCATTCCTTATTTTAGATGACCGATAATGCTTCTTCTGTTGGTGGTGCTCTGGTTGAATCTGAGGGCGAGGATTTGAACGAGTCCAGCAATATGATCCAATATGATCGTTATGGATTTTATGGGGGCAAGGAATACACAAATCCAGAAAAGTGAGTTTGATTCCGTTTGGTGCTTCTATCGCCAACATTCTCCTGCGTGACGCACTGTTTTTGCTTTTCGCATCCATTGCACCTATCGGTGTTCGATCTTATCATGTAACTTATTTTTATACCTGCAGAAAATTATGAGTTATAGGATGAGTAAAACCTTCCAACCAATAAAGAAATGTGTGATACCGAATGCCCTATCTGTCCTTGCCGAATGGTATCATATATTTGAGTGGCTATTTTATCTCGAACCCAGGATAGTTACTGGCTTACAGACCACCAACTTCATCTTTGTACTTCATTGACCCTCATTCCCTTTGGTACCTGAGCAGCCTGGAACAAGTTGATTAATGCGAGTACAAACCGATTATGAGAGGCTGATGGATAACTAGTGATGAAAAGTTTCGCCACTAATTCTTCGGTAGTTCATTGCATTCATACATTTCGCACGTTAGCTGGAGGGGACAAACACCTCAGCTACTGTGCCGTGGTACAAGGCAGTACGTTGGCACACTGGGCCGACCCTTCGCTGCCGCCCGTCCACCACCGGTCGCGCGTGGCCTGGGTGTAACGCGCGGTTACCCACATCTACAAAATATTAGCTATTCCAAAGGCAGTATATAGACAAGTTGTGCCCCATGCTGAGGCTGATGTTGCATTCATGATGCTTCTTCATCGCAGTTAGGCTAAACCAACTTTCACTTAAACTAGGTCTTTTTAATGTGGATAATATTCGTTACATTGTATTTGGTTTGTTCTGCGTACTTGATAATCTTCTCCCAACTTGCACACGTCACTCATGCAAATTGTGGTAAACTTGCGTAATTGTATCGCGTGGTATTTTTTTTAATAACTAACTCGGACATTTTGTACTTATCACGGATCCAGTTATAACCAATTTCTCCTATATGCTCATTTAGCGAGTATTTATGTCGTCATATGCGTTTACTTTATTCGATATCGGCATTTTGAGTGATTGGCTGTTGTTTGACATCTCAGGTGTGGCTGCGCTTGATGTGCATGTTGACAAGGTGCCTACATATCTATTACCCACTACCTCGTCCATCTGGCTCCAGCAGAGAGTTGCTCGTTGCTGGAGGGGACGGGGTGCACGGTCCTTGTGGTCGTGCTAGGCTCGGAGAGTGGTTCCATGCACTCAGTGTGGAACGGGCTACGGCCCAGCCACCGCCTTGTGTGCGCTTGATTCCCCAAATACAGCGTGCTTGTGTTTGCCTGTGAAGGAGTGTTGGCCGGCTCCGTTGATGAAACGTGGCTCCCATCCGCATGCCTTCCGGTCTTATTCCTTCGGGTTTACACTGGATATGGGGTGTGTGGTTGGAGCTGTGGGTGGTGCGGTGCAAGCCATCCATGGTCCCTCTGTAGGCGCAGGCGTCCTGTGGCTGGTCACATTGACAGGCAAATCCGAAACCGGATGCCGCCAACCATATGGACAAGTAATACAGGTTGCGTTTGGAAAGCTCGGCCAGTGGTCCCATATGTCAAAAGCCGCGCTGATAGATATGCCAACAAGCCCTCTTGTTGCGCAAATCACTTCGTGAAGCACACGCTAGTACCAGGCTAAGTGACAGTGTGAGAACTGCTATCATTGCAAAATGAAGCAATGGCTTCACATGAACTTCTACTTCAAATTACTCACAACGGTGATGGATAATCCTAAAATGTTCTTGCAATTGTACAATCTTGAAGTAATGAATATAAAGTGTGTGTTTGAGTGGCTTAAACGTTTTAGAGACGAAAGGGAAGGTGCCAGGTCGACCCTCAACAAGTATAATTCCAGTCGGATGCTCGCGGATGATCAGGGGCTGTCTTTGAAAACGACACCATAAGAGTTGCAAGTAAACAGTAACAATGTAAGCAGGGCTGTTCGCAAGGGGCAAATTTTCAGTGCGAAGCTTAAGAAGGAGTTCTGGAACGACTACTACAGCGCATCCGGCGGTTCCGCCAGAACTGTACCGGAGTGGACAGTGGGGTTTACTCCGCGACAACGCCCGTTCGCACACTGCGATTCACGTGATCCATTTTCCCGTTCAATGCAAGGTGACTGTTCTTCATTAACTGTTCGTCAAATCTCCTGCTTCGGAGTCCGATATTTTCCTTTGGACTCTAGTAGGTATTGCAAAGCATGTGAATCGAGCGATCATCCGTTACGATTTCCAATTTGTAACAAACTCCTTCCTTATTCTTCAGTTTTGGCCTACGTCTTTTTGTTCCCCGTCCTAAATTAGCCTTGAAAGGCTTACGCTTCACTGACGTTGCGGATATCCAACAACGCGTTACTACATTGCGTCGAGTGATTCCATAAGAAGCATTTTCTTCCAGTTTCCAACAACTTTACGCCCGATGTAAGAAGTGTGTTGCTCTGAAGGCCAGTAACGGTCTTTGTCACTTAGTTATCTTTATTTTCTAAGACCACTCATCGAACTTTTTAAACGCGCCTTGTGTTCTCCTTTTTTGTCATTGTGTACCGATAGTGAGAACGTGGTTGGAGGGAGAGGCTAAGCGGTATCAAAAGGGGTAAAGAAGCTCACAACCTACACGCCACGGGTCGGCTCTTCGCCATGTCAACAAATGTATCCAACCAAACGTGTCGTCTTTCGAACCCCAACCCAAAAGTCTTCAGGCTCCAGCGGTGGTCAGGTTTAAAGTCATCATTCCTCTTGGCCAAGTCATCGGTTGGCAGCACATGGCTCAGCCTTCGGATCATTGAAATAACGCTGCTGCTGCTGCTGCTTTTCTTGCGCCAAGTACACATGGCGCCGAACACGATGCTTACTCACACGGTGTTGCGAAGGCACCGATGGTCGAACGGTACAAGCCTCTTTACATCTATCGATCTGATGGGCTAGGTTTCACAGTGGTATAATTGGATTGGACGGTTAGCTACATTGTGGACCTTTCCCTTCTGGACAAGAATGATGGCGCGCCTGTGCCACACGTGGCGAAGATTGGCAAAAGCACCTGAATCCTTTGCTATACAGTTCATGATCACATCTTTGATCACGCAGGCGCTGATACAACTGCCCTGATAGTCCAATTTCTGAACCACTTCTAGATTATCCTCGCCAAAAGTCAATACAAAAGAGCCGTCCCTGTGAACCTTAGTGGGAAACTATGCATTTGGTAGGTACAAGGCACAATCAAAAGCAGCTGACAGCCAGCGCTAATCTGTCCAATGCTGTCTGACACGTTTGTGAGCCGTCACAGTTGAAGGCAATGTCGTCAGCATAATCCAAGTCATGAATTCGTTCACCTTGAGGCAACTCCATACCTTCTGAATCGTGTCCAGTGTACTTATGTTTATAACTTCGTCAGTGGCGAAGTTTATAAAGAAAGATGTTAGCGGACATCTGTATCACAATGCTGGACATATCGTGGGGCGTAAATCGGCCTGATAATTATTAAGTGCTTCATAAGCGCACTCTGCCCCCTCAAACAGTCCTAAATGGTATATCGATCTACCCAATCGCACGCACCATTTTACTGAAGAACACAACTATGGTTGGGTATTAACTAAGTATGTTACACCAATAGCTGGCTCACACTGAAGATGTGATCATTGCAGCTAAGATTACGGTGAAGTATAGCTTGCCCTTTTCAAATCTGGCTTTCACAGGTGATACTCAGGCTATGGAGAACGACATTCGCAAGTTACTTGAACGCAATGCAAATCAGACTGAGACCTCTATGATTATCGCATTCCGAAGGTGAGCTCTCAACAATCGGGACTGTAAGGATGAAGTTCCAAACAGTCGGTACCGTTTCCTCCTACAATTTCTCTAATGACTCATATAAATCATCCACAAAAGCATTTCGCTCACATTTGTAGTGGGATGAATGAGGATCATCTGGTGCCGCGACCTACTTCGGCTTCATCGATTCGACTCTGCAATCTCACCTTCGACTTTTGCACGAGAAAGCAGATCCAGAAGGATGGCACAAAGCAAAAGGTAGTCACTGGCCGGCACCGAATCTGCTACTGGTTCCGAACGATTAAATTGTTTTCCAACTTGCCCAGCCCTAACTCTGCAAGCGTTTTGACGTGTGGATAGACTGTCCACTCTCGTCACATATCGTTTTCACAGTTCTCTCTCACGTTCGACGTCTGCGCAATAGCGCGGATTTATAGGGACGGCGCACGGAGTTTGGTGTTAACTATTCTGGCAGGTTAAATTGTTTTCAAAGCATTTAGCACAATACTCCAAGCGTTTTGACGGCCTGTCTGCCGTTGTCGCATACTTTCCATGACACCAGATCTCTTTCCGTTTCCCGTATCAGACGTATCAGATGGTTACCAAGAGCAACGGTTATTTCCATCTCTGATGCACCATGCTACCACCAAGTTTTCCGGTTTCTTTTCGAGCCAACACGCAATTTGACCCTTTAATCTCTGTGAGTCTTGTCTTTGCTACTAGCCGGCGTTCGTCGGCGTGTATTCGGAAGTTGCAGGGACCACGTAGAGTTTTATTGACCAGGTAAGGCATCAGATTTGCTACTCGAGCTCATACCTGCTTGTTATAACGTTTGGTGAACGTGTGATTAATGACCGTCAACTGTGCTCAAGGAGAGCGGGTACTCGGTTCGGATGCCGGCGCACTTTGGTATGCATCCAGAACATCCGGCTTCATCAACTAACAAGTGTCTATGTGCTCACATCGCCTTCATCGGCGCCCCCCCCAAATGCACTCCTAGATAAGCGCATACTAGTGCGTGGTCGGACTCCACACTTCTGCTTCACATCGAGCAACCGTTTTGGACATAACTACAACGGTGACAGATCGTGATGTGACCGATTTGCGTCCATGGCTGGTCTAGGGCTGGTGGGCGCCACCTCAACCCCGGCCGGTACTTTCGGAAGTTAAAGTTCGCGAGAAATAGGTGAGCATCTTCACACATACGGAGCGACAGCGCACCATCATCATTCCGGGGGTTTACACTGTGCGAGCAGCCCAGATGAAGCTCATCAGTGGACAATATTTTAACTCGCGCGTTCAGATCCCCAGCCAGCACTGCATTATTCGTGCTTACTCTGTGACAAATGGGCTGGTTCATTTGATGATAGTAGTCATATTTCACGGAATCATCGTTACAGCTTGTGGTAATGTAGACAGCATTGACAAACAGGCACCTGTTGGCTCCGCCCTACTTCAACGCTTTGAACTACCCAGCCAGTCTGACGGCACACATCTGGTGGGTTGATTTTGATCCAATGTATCACAGCGTAGCTTCAGCCCGGGTACTCAGAGCAATGTATAAACTGGCATGACCGGCATTTGAAGCAACCTCAAATCTGAAGAACTGCAATGAAAATAATGCCACCAGTGCCACATGAAAGAGATCCCAGGGTGGACACCGAGCTCGAATCTTGCAAGCGGGTTTCCGATATACAATAGATATCGATTGATAGGGTATATAGTGTTCGGACAAATCCTGTCTGTTAACCGAACTACAACAAAGGGGTCACGTTGAGACATGCAGCGGTCAGCGAGGATCGAAGATTCGAACTCGAAACGGATGAAGTGACCATGTTCACTTAGTTGGACATGGGCTTGTCGACAGGACAGAAGTGACGTCCATTAATTACGTGTTAATTGTAACTAAATGAACAAGTAACTACCAAAGCAAAATGGGTGGGCTAAAACGTGGGAAGATAATAGTGAAGTTGGGACAGGACGGTAAGTTTGGAGAGGCGCACGAGGAGAAATAAGCGGACGAGACGGCACGAGCAGTAGCATTTTCACTCTTATGTATGCCGCTCGGTGCTGCAACGTAGGCGCGTTGATTATCCTCTGCGACGGCCAGACTATCAGGAAATGGCTGGTGGATCAATTCATCGTTACAAAAGGACGAGTTAAGTTCTCAACCAAAGCCTTTATTTCAAAAACGACCTCAATACAACGGCATTTTGTTAGTGAAATATAGAGGGCCGGTTTTTAGGAATATTTGCTCATCAATGAGGGGGATTTATTGTCATTTTGTGTGAAGATTCGTCAGCTAGACTCGGGTAGACAGCCATCACACATCCAGGGAAGCTCTAGACGGCCTTTTCGTCCTGTTGAGACTCGTCAGTAGTGCGCACTCACCGAATTCTGCCGGATTCGGACCCACAACCTTGCTCTTATGAGCCAGCGACTTATGCCACTGAGCGGTGGGCGACGGCAGCGAACCGCCATGACTGATATCTAACTGCGATACAGCGCAGTAACCGCCTTAGTGGCTTATATGCCACCTCGAGTGGTGGCGGCTTGTAAAGAAAGTTGTGGCTCTGAGGGCCAGCCCTCTCCTCTGTACGTTCACAATATGCATGACAGTAGAGGATGAGCCGCGCTATATTGCAGTTAGATATCAGTTGTGGCCGTCCGCTGCCGTCGCCCATCGCTCAGTGGCATATGTCGCTGGTTCATAAGAGTAAGGTGGTGGGTTCCAATCCAGCGAGATTCGACGGGTGCGCGCTATTGACGAGTCCCAATAGGACGAAACGGCCGTCTAGCGTTTTTCTGGATGTGTGGTGGCTGTTTGCCTGCGACGAAGCTTCACGTAATAGGTAAGTGTCCGGATTCCAACCTACAACCTGGAGGACCAGTTGATTCAAAAGCACCACCTTGCACAGATCAATGAATGGTTGAGGCACAGTAACAACCGTTCCACGTTTAGGTGCAGCCTCATTGGGATGGTTTATTTCAACTTTTTTTTGCTAAAATTGTATTTTACAGACCATTCCGAAGTATAGTTTTACTGAGTCATCAGCGGATGCCCACTATGCAATCAGTGGGTTTCTTCAGCACATCATTTGCAACTTCTTTAGTGCTGGTGCATCTCTCGACGTTAATGTAACCTTCGTGTCACGTAAGATTTTCGGCTTTTCGCACATTTTAGCTTCAGTGGCGCGCGAAGTTTGACCATGAACCAGTCAGAATATGTCATACTTTTGTCATACTTCATTCACACTTCATTAGCATATGGAATTAAAGCTTTGGTTGATAGTCTTGAGTTCTGTATTTGGATGCTGGGGCTAAACGTCATGTTTTGTGCATGCGCATTTGTTTCCGTGAACATACTGCTAGACTAACACTGTTGACTCACGGGATGCTTTTTGTCGTCCGAATCACGCTTTTCAGTTTGCAAACTATAAAACTGATGCCATCATTTTGTGGGTACTTTTAGCCGCCATATATATAATGTGCAATATTCGTTCTCTATCCATATTCAGTGAGCGTAAGTTCTGACGGTATCCTGCAACTTTTGAAAAGGCAGCGTTTAGCGGTTTAATGCCATAACATTGCGCACATCATAATAGCTCTGCTTCATTTTCTAATCAACTATCATTAATCTTTTGACTAGTTGGTCAGCGCTAAGATGTACACTGAGGTGAGTATTTCACTGTATCTGTGATCAAACTTTACTTTTTGACTATTCGATTTCCGCGAGCAACTACAAGTACACGTCCTGTACCCTGGGTGATCTGAGTGAGTGAGGTTTGTCGCCTCTGTTCACTCGGTCATCCGCCTCTTAGTCCCGCAGACACACTGCGTGACGTGTTGTTTGCCAGTACAGTGAAACTACGGTGATCAGTCAGCGACATGGCTGAGGGACAGAAACAAACTCTCTGAACGCGTTACTCGAGCGAGGGCTGACGATTAGGTGCGCCAATTTTAACACATGACTTCTGCTTAGTGCGCGACGTATTGCCAATAACCTCACAGTACCTGTCCTGGTGTTGCAGATTGGCTCACTCACGCGTCACCTCCCAAAGGAGCGAAATACCTGTCCTTCGGTTTCCGACAGGCGATAGTAGATTAATTTTTGTATGTTTGTGAGAAGTGTAAAGTTCGTTACTTCTCCTTTCTGCAAACTTTACACTTTCACAAACATCCAAAACATATAGTATGTTTTTATCATAGCCCATCCTCCACGCGAGAATAGGACAGGGATCTTGGTAGTGACTAAGACAGGCGGAAACGGCCGCACCTAATTTTCTGATCGTCGGTGACCTAAGCCTTCCGCATGCTGATTGGCAGCACGATGAAAACAGAGTGGATACTTTAGAGAATTAACTAGTAGCTTGGATGCATGTAAATGCGTTCGGGCAATACGTCAATGTCCCGACTAGGAGTCGTACTGGGATTACTCCTTCAACCCTTGATATCGTGATCACCAGACATGGCCACCTGATTGACCTATGCGTGGAGCCACCCATAGGTAAGAGTGATGATTATGTTTTGACCTTTTCTTTGGACAAACCGAGGCTCGCAGAGAACCGTCGAATTCGAACAGATTTAAATCATATTGATTTTACCAAGCTGCGGGATCGAGCCCTTCAGAGCACTTGGATCCCTGAACAGCACAAGGCACCTTTGGAACAGAGGTGACTTCTACTTAAACGTGGAATGTACAGTTGCTGAACGAATTTGCTCCTCCTCGCCCCAGGAGATATCTTGGGAAACCCCGATGGTGTAGAAGAAAAATTGATAGAGCGATAAAGAGGCGCAATGCTGAGTGGAAAAAATATCAAGAAACACGGGGCTTCCGACGTTGGCTGCAATACAAAAGGTGTCGAAACATGGCTGTTAAGTTAAAGCGGCTGGCGAAGTACTCATATGAGCTTAGGTTGGCCAAATTTGCGAAAACTAATCCCAAGTGTTATTACAGTTATGTCCAGTCAAAGGCTTCTGTAAGAGAGGCGGTCGGCTGTCTAACCATGGAGGACGGTACCCAGGCTGTAGACGACGTCGATAAAGTAGAAGCGCTACTACGTGTCTACCAAAACCTGCATCGGAAGGATAGTGGGTCAGCCTTGCCATCACAGCCGCACTGCTCAACTAGCTACACAATGCGGGAAATTATTCTCAATGTGTCAGAGGTCATCACAGTGCTGGCTAGTTTGAACCCTTATAACTCAGGTGGTCCTGATAGCGTACATCCCGCCATAGTTAAGCCTCTGGTTGATATCTGTCAGTATCCCGTAGCGGAGTTATTCAACCAGTCTCTTCGAGAAGGCAAGCTGCCACGTGATTGGAAGGAGGCGACTATTGTTGCCATCCACAAGGGGGTTCTAAGTCGGCGCCTCTTAACTATCGACCTGTTAGTTTGACCAGCATCATGCTGAAATGCTTGGAAAAGCTTATAAGGAACAGGATCTGTGAGCACTTGACTGAGCACAATCTAATTAAAGCGGAACAGCATGGCTTTCTTGGAAAGAAGTCGTGTCTTACCAATTTGTTGGGCTTTTTAGAAGAAATTACCCGTTGTCTTGATAGTGGGATATCGGCAGAGGTGTGTTATTTGGACTTCAGTAAAGCCTTTGACTCAGTGAATCATCGATTTTTAATTGAGAAGCTGACATGGTTTGGATTGCATCCTCAACTATTACTATGGCTCTCTGAATTCTTATGTGGAAGGACATTCAGAGTCAGAGTTGGGGAAGCGGGTTTTAGTGCTGGCCATGCATACAGCGGTGTTCCCCAAGGTTCGGTACTGGGTCGATTGCTGTTTCTTATGTTTATAAATGACCTGGCTCCTCTTCTTGAGGGTCCCTGCTACATCTTCGCAGATGACTTGAAGCTAGTCAGTAGGGGAAACCGAGCGACATTGGCTAAGGATATCATCACTGTGGTGAATTGGTCAAGCTAATGGGACCTACCATTAAATGCTAATAAATGTCAACTATTGACTAGTAGCAGTAGCGGAATTGCAGTTCAGTCTCCTGTGGGATCTCTATCATTGCGGTGTACTGACGAAGCCCGTGATCTAGGTATCATCGTAGCGAATAATTTTAAGCCTTCGGCACAGTGTCGCCATGCTGCCAATAAAGAGCGACACGAGTTATTTCGTCTTAGGAGAGCGCTGGGTAACACTAAAGCAGAGGTATTATTGCCGTTGTATAAAGCAATGGTTAGGCCACATCTGGAGTATTGTGTTCAGGCCTGGTCAACATACCTCCGGAGTGACATCATTTGTATAGAAAAGATTCAGAAACTTGCGACCAGGATAATTAAAAGTTCAACGAAGGAAGTCTTTCGAAGAGCGTCTAATTAGCTTAGGATTTTTTTCCTTGGAACGGCGTAGGTTGAGAGAGACGTTTAAGATCATTAAGGAACTTAGTGGTATTAGTTCCACCCATCTGTTTGCGTTGGCTATATCAGACCATCTGCGCGGGCATCGCCTGAAGCTCAAACATCATAGAGCCCGTTTGGACATCAGGGCAAAGTATTTTACAAACCGAGTAGTTAACTTCTGGAATAAACTTCCTTCTGATTTAGCGGAGTCTGAGACCGTAGAAGCCTTCAAAAGGGGCTTAGACGATTGTTGGTCCATTCTTTTTCCAGAGACATTGCAGTTGTACTGGAATACGTAGTGTGAATAGCATCCGCCTTCGTACTGTGAGTTCTACGCGGTAACTCGATTTGTTTGCATGCCATCCTGGTCGAGATTTTCATCTGAAATAACGTGGAAAACAGTGTTTGAATAGACACTTGAAACGAAATTTGTCTATTGTCAAATTTTCTCTGATCCAGGATATCTTGGATCGAAATAAATTGGTACTGGCCAATGTGTCTTTGGCGCTTACTGATAATTTTTCCGGTTGTTCCCAGTTTTAATCCCGTTTTGCACCCTGTTTTTGCCTTTTTATTGCGATCGTTTTCCTATTGTATACGTGTTGTACTTCTACTCTGTTTTCATTGAGTTCATTGAGTGATAGAGAGCAGAAGGGGGGTCCCGTGTCAGCTCCTTCGCTTCCCGATCTTCCAAGGATTGCAGGCGAGTTGGCTGTCATGGCTCAGGATGTAATATCAGCCCTTCAGGATCCTGGAGTACACATGAATATGGCTGTCTCGCTAAACACCGAGACGGCTGGACCTATGGGGTCCCCGTTTGATGAGTCTACTGCAGCTTGCGGACAGGTTAACTGTTCAGAGCCAGTAACAGATGTATCTGGCGGTATGCATTGTGACGTCTGCTGCCGCTGGTATCACGAAAGCGGTACCGGCCTACGAGCTTACCAGTACAAAATGCTATCATCAAGCGTCCACTTCCTTTTCAGCTGTGCTGAATGCTGCGCTCAAAGATCGACGCGCCCGGCTGTCACCGGTGCTAAACTTTCAGCGCTGACTTCAAGGTTGGCAGATGTTGAGTTGGCGATAGCTAAACTCGCCTCTATTGCGTCGCTCGATACGAAAATGGATTTGGTTTTAAAATTCCTGAATATTTCGTTTGAAGGCACTGCAATATACGGCAACATTGCTGACGATCCATCCACTGGAGTCTGTCACTCGGTCATGAAGTCGCACATCCTACCGGCCAGTCCAGGTAGCATTGCTGGCTGTCCCCATGAGCCGATCAAAGTGAAGAAAAATAGGGTGCGGAAATACCAAAAGCTCTCTGCTAAACCCAGAGAATTAGTTACCACGGCATCGCAAATGATGCCGTCTTTGACAGTCGTAAAGTCGTCTGACGATTGTACTCAGAACTTTCCGAAGATGCTGGCCGTCTCGGCCGCCAGTGAACCAGCCCTTTCCGACGAAGTGCTGGAAACTGCTCAATGCGATACAAAGTCAACGGCCTCTGCTCCAGTGAACCAGAAGAAGAAGCGGACTAGATCTGCTCGTAAAACTTTGAAGGGGCTTGGATACCCAGGAACTAGTAAGACGCCGGCAATAGAGCGGTGAACTTGAGGTAGTTGGTCAAGTAGTTTACCTCGGCAGCTGCAACAGCAACAGTGGGCGCATAGCACCTGAAGTCAGTTCACGTGTTGAAAATTTCAGAACTGTCCTTGATTCTGCAACATCTGTGACGTTGTAAGCGGATTACTGATGTGGTAGCTAATTTCTTTGTGTGACACGTTTTCCAAGACCTTTTTTGTGAGAAGCAAAACAATGCTCAATACCTTTTCGTTGACGCCGTTTTCATCGCTCTAACTAACTGTTTCCTTTTCGTCTCCTGCTGGGACACTGCGCTATCTATCGATCTTTCCTTTTCAGCCGGTTCACTTTGAACTCCTCAATCTGTACTTCCTCCCAGCTGAGCGGCTCTGTCCGTTATCTTGTTTTGGACTCTTGTAGCTTGTGTGAA